TTATTTTTGTTGTTGGAGATTGAGTTTCAACCATTCACTCTCTAGTATATCTTTCTACCTTCTTGTTTTGGTTCTGTTTTAAAATTATTTATTTCTCTTGATGTATTCCTCTTTCTTTTTTTCCCCTGTGTCTGGATTGGCCACATATCTAGACCCCTGGGTTGAATAATGGCCCACAGGATGAGTGAGAAGTGTAGCTGAGGGAGGATGATGGCGTAGACTGATTTATGATAAAGTGCCCCTGTCCCCAAAGAATACTGCAGAGATAGAAAAAATTCTTTCCTGTTATTTCTAGAAAGAAAAATAAAACTATTAAGTAAACACTCAGCAGAAAAACCTGAGGTTAAAGCACAGAATAGGAGCATGAGATGACCAAGTAATTTCTCAAAATTTAAAAAACAGAATAGCTGTTGCTCACTCAACAAATAATAACTGAGAAAATCATACCCAATCAGATGCTATTCTAGAAGCTTAAAATGCCACCATCAGCAAAAGGGGCACCAAAGATCAGAAATTCTAGTTGGAAAAGCAAAAAACAAATTAATTAATTAATTTCATATCTCTTTAAAAATTAATTTTATTGAGAAACAAACATCAATGAGACAGTTTTAAAACCGATTAGTAGGGCAGTTTCAATAATTAATACATTGTATATTGTTGTCTTCATCGTGGTTATTCACAGTACAACATGCAGACATGATATCCTGTCCAAACACTATTAGTTCAAATCTTTCTTCTCACTGAATTAAGAGAAGGTAGCTGTATATCTATCCTAACTATTTTGCATATACAGATACAAAATGATCCTTCATTTGTATCCCCTTTTTTTTGTTTAGTTTTGTCAGAGATTGGTATTCCAGTGCCATTTAAATATTGTAGGTGTGTAAATTCAACAAAGTAGTCCAATATACTCCAGGTGTCCATAATAGTAGTGGGTTATCCATAGGACTGGCATTGTTAGAGGTTGTTTTACAGCTCAGCATATTAATATGGGTTTACTTTTTATACTTTGCTTTTATACTTTTCTGTTGGATGGTTAAGACCATGATAAAGCAAGACCTATGTAACAAGAATTGCAACTTTTGTATCTGACGAGGTCAGTCAAATTCCTTCAAGATTTACCCTGTACCACAGTTTGTAGATCCTTGTCAGTGTCAGCCATGTGGATGAGTCACGGCCATTGCTTGACCAATGTGCTCTCTGTGAGAGCCTGAGAGAATGTTTTCTCTCCATGTGACTCTCCTTAGGCACACTCTACATCATTGATCACTTTCTCTGTGACCTCATAGTCTCCTTGATCAATAACTCTGGGACACAACTGAGTTAAGGGTGTTACAGTACAGGTTCTCCTATGTCCTGAGTCCTCACTGACCTTGAATGGCTAGGGCCAAAATGTTGGCTGTTCTTACAACCCTTCTTTTTCTCAAATTTTTGTTCTTCAAACTTAAGTTGTTAACCCTCCAGAAGAGATGCTTAACGATATTATTACCCTATAACGTAGGCAGTTGAGCTTAACCCCACTATCTGTCTGAACATCAAACATCTTATACGTAGAATGGAACAGGTTTTTCCATAATGTATTGATATGTTAAACTTTAAATCCCTACAGAACGTGAGAAAAAAAAAGATATTTAAGAAATAAGAATAAATACATTTTTTTTGTGGTACTAGGGATTGAACTCAGGACCTTGTGCATGCCAACCAGGTGCTTATGCTGCTGAGCTGTCTCCCTGGCCCCCAATTACATATTTTTACACAGAAATTTAGAAATCTAACCATATACAGCATTGTAGTAGGACAGTCCTATGATATTTTCTTGTAATCTACTTTAATAAAAGAAAACCTACACTAGTTTTTCTGCTATGGGAAACATAGGCAGAGGAGGAATTCACAGGAAGAGGGACTACAACTCTAAATAGGGTGTTGAGGAACAGCCTCACTGAAAAGGTGAGGAAGATGATTGAGCAGGCATATCTGGTAAGAGCTTGCTGTGCATGGAAAGCATCAAAGCTCTTGGGGCTGATGTCAACATGGAGTGTAGGAAGAGTTTCATGGTAGTCAGTGAGAGATTTGGATATCTAGGGAGAGCTGAAGGCAGGGAGGTCTGGGAATGCCTGCAGGCCTGTTGATGAAATCTTGCTTTCATTATGAAAGTGCTTGCCTTCTCTTCTTACAGAAGTGGATTCAGTTAATCTCTATTTGTCAATAGGCTTGGGTGGGATACCACAAGGTCATCACTCAGGGAACAGCAATGATCTTGTTCCCAGGACTTAAAAGTGAAAAGGACAGAATGTGTCTTGCAGGAAGCATCAGAAAGAATTTTTGAGAAGAGAGAACTTGAAAATAAGCCAAGTATGGTGACGTAAGCAACCAGAAAGAGCTCCATAAATGGGATGTGAGGATAAGTGTTACTCCAAGGGAGAGCAAGAGCTCTATTCAGCTACTTTAGGAAGGGCAAGTCCACAGTGGAAACAAGAACCAAAATAAAAGAACCATTGAAAAATCAGGCAATTGAAATGAATAATCAGTCACATCTCAAAAGAAGTACAAATGAATTATGAACACTTAAAAAATGCTCAGTATCTTTCACCATTAGAGAAAGGCAAATTAAACAACACTGAGAGTCTATCTTACTCCAGAAAGAGAGACTATCATGAGTATTTCAAAAACAACAAATGTTGCTGATGTTGAAGCAACAAATGCTAGTGAGTTGTGTGTGTGTGGGAAAGGATCCCTTCTACACTGATGGTAAGAATGTAGATTAGTGCAATTAGTATGGCTATCAGTATGATGTTTCTCCAGAGAACTGAAAGTAGGATTCCAACTGACCCAGATAATCCAAAAGTAGGAATGCATTTGATCCTAAAAAAGGTAAAATAATGTCACAATGATACATGCATATATATTTAATAACAGCATAGTGTACAATAGCTAAATGATGGAAGAGGTCTATTTGCCCCTCAACAGTTGGATTAAAAAAATGTGGTATAGGTGCACAATGGAGTACAGCTTAATACTGTTTTGTTCTTAAAGAAGGATGAATTTGAGTACCAAAATAGATGCACCTTGAGACCATGATACTAAGTGACATAGATCAGACACAGAAAGTTAAATATCACATGGTTTTTCTTATATGAGAAACCCAAAGTATAAATCATTTAGGACCAACATAAAAGTAAATTATACAAAATATGGAGGTAGACTCTGTGGAGGTGGGAAGGGGACTTATGTATAAGATGAGATGTTATGAGCAGGAAAAAAGGAAGTAAAAAGGATCCAGATACAATATGTATATGTATAAACAATCCATGGTGAAAATATTTATTGTGTATAAAAACACATTCCAATCATTAGAAAGACCCACTAGTGTAGATAATTTCTGTAGGCTCTGGGACATAGGTATTATCCTTAATTGTCTGGTACCTGACTTGGGTTAGTTAAAGGAGGAGTATAGTGATAATCCTGCTAGTAATAGCTTTGTGGGAGCCACATAAATGGGGCATTTGGAATGTATGGCCTGGATCAGTTGGTCTGTGTATAGAAGGTGTGCTTGTCGGAAGGTCCTTAATATTTCTAAGAATTAGCCACTGGTTTGAGAACCTAACCCAGTAGGGTTAATATGTCCCCATGATGTCAAAACACCAAAAAGTTAGACACGAGGACATGATTAATGCAGCAAGTCAAAATATACTTAGTATAAAGGTGAAAAACACATCATCTCAAGAAGCATAAAACTATTATTTAATAAAATTAAACACTCATTCATCATCAAGAACACAACAACCCTGGGGAAGAATAAAACCTATTTTCTGTTTTAGCATACATTGCAGTTCTCCTTCATTCATGTTTGAAATTCATCATAAACCTAGGAATTGACTAATTATAAGATATGAAAAGATTCTATCTAGCAAAATGTTGCTAAATTGAGGGATAGAACATATTCATAAGTCAAACACTCCATGTTGTAAGGATGTCAGATCTCACCAAAATGATCTATAGATCCAATATTATTTCAGTGAAACTCTATGTAGATTTGTGGGAATTGATGATTCTAAAAATCATATGAGAATTTAAAAAGCCAGTTATAGTCAAGATAATCTAAATGAAAATAAAGTTGCTAGGTATTAAGTTTTATTTTTAAGACATAGTTTTTAAAAATTAATTAATTAATTAATTTTCCCCATAATTTTATTGAGAAACAAATAGCAATGAGACAGTTTCCAACCAAATTGGTAGCATAGTTTCAATAATTAACACATTGCATACATTCTTCCTAGTGCTTAATTGCTGTACAAATGCAGACATGATATCCTATTTACAAACACTATTACAACAAATCCCTCTATTCATTAAGAGAATATAACTATATATCTATCCTAACCATTTTGAATTCATAGATACAAAATGGACATTCATCTTTGTCCCCCTTTTTTGTTTAGTTCTGTTATTTGAATATTATAGGTGTGTTAACTCAGCAAAATATTCTAAAAGAGTAAGATATAGTTCTTAAGACAGTTGGACAGTTGTTAATTTAACAAAGAGACAACACAGATCTATTTTATTTTATCTAAATAAAATCTACATGCAAATTCATCTGGAAAGCAAACAGGTCTGTCATTAAGGCAGAAGAAATACAATAGCTAGCTTCACATTCCCAGGGTAAAACCCAAGCCACCTAGGCATCAGAAAACAGAAGAGAGACTGCAAACCTCATATACCTGTAAAGCAGTTGATACCCTCAAGTTTCCTTTCAGTAAAGAAAACACCAAGCAATGGGTTTAATCAGATAAATAAAATGTTTTGTTCCCTCTAAGTAAGTTAGGTAGCTAAGTCTTGCTACTCCCTTGTTTGTTATAGCTGAAGTCCTTGTCCTCAGAATACATCCTCTTTTGTTTTTTTTTTTTTTTTCATATTTGCTTTTAGCTGGCCACACATCTCAAATTATCTTTGAGATAATTTGACACATGTGGCCAGCTAAAAACAATTATCTAGGAAGCAGAACCGGTCGCTTCTGGAAGTCGGCAGCTGCCTTGGTCGTTTGGCTGGTACTTGCGACTGTAGCGGTCTTACAGTTTCGCGGTTCACAGCGGGAGTGGAAAATGGCCCTACTGTGCTACAACCGGGGCTGCGGCCAGCGCTTCGATGCCGAGAACAATGCGGACGATGCTTGTACATATCATCCTGGTGTTCCGGTCTTTCATGATGCATTAAAGGGTTGGTCTTGCTGTAAAAGAAGAACAACTGATTTTTCTGACTTCTTAAGTATTGTAGGCTGCACGAAAGGCAGACATAATAGCGAGAAGCCTCCTGAGCCAGTGAAGCCAGAAGTCAAGACTACTGAGAAGAAAGAGCTCTCGGAACTGAAGCCCAGGTTTCAGGAGCATATCATTCAAGCACCAAAGCCAGTAGAGTCAATCAAAAGACCAAGCCCAGATGAACCAATGACGAGTTTGGAATTAAGAATATCTGCCTCTCTAAAACAAGCACTTGATAAACTTAAACTGTCATCAGGGAATGAAGAAGATAAGAAAGAAGAAGACAGTGATGAAATTAAGATTGGGACCTCATGTAAAAATGGAGGATGTTCAAAGACATATCAGGGTCTACAGAGTCTAGAAGAAGTCTGCGTATATCATTCTGGAGTACCTATATTCCATGAAGGGATGAAATATTGGAGTTGTTGCAGAAGAAAAACCTCTGACTTTAACACGTTCTTAGCCCAAGAAGGCTGTACCACAGGGAAGCACATGTGGACTAAGAAGGATGCTGGGAAAAAAGTTGTTCCCTGTAGACATGACTGGCATCAGACTGGGGGTGAAGTCACCATTTCCGTGTATGCTAAAAATTCACTTCCGGATCTTAGTCGAGTAGAAGCAAATAGCACTTCATTAAATGTGCACATTGTATTTGAAGGAGAGAAAGAATTTCATCAAAATGTGAAATTATGGGGTGTGATCGATGTAAAGCGAAGTCATGTAACTATGACTGCTACAAAGATTGAGATCTCCATGAGAAAAGCCGAGCCTATGCAGTGGGCAAGCCTTGAACTGCCTGCAACCACAAAACAGGAAAAACGAAAAGAAGATTCTACAGATTAAGTGGAAGAAGAAAAACACTGCTGCCTATTTCAGAAATCTCAATGATGTGTGGTGAAGTTGTGGCTTGCTGCTGTAATCTTCTATTCTTGCTGTTTTATTTGTGAATCTGGCATTTTAGGGTCAGCATTAGATTTTTAAAAGCCAAAGTCAAGTCATCGTTTCGTCTTCTGTTTTCCCCGTGGGATCTGTAAGATGGACTCTTCCTTCCTCGCTGTTAGAACCATATTTGTTCCCT